ATGGGTAGAAATATTGAACCAAACGCACACATTGATTTCATTAAATTAAAATATTGTAACACTTAAAAGTGTTACTAAATCAAAATATAATAACAAATTTTATTTTCCCAAACTTTAACCGGGAAAAAATTTCTCTACCCGCCAAACAAAATTTCCCCCCCTCCAAAAAAAAAAACATACCAAAGACCTTATTCACTCATCTTCTCCAATTCACGCCACTTTTTCAAGTTTGCTTCTTTACTAAAATTTCAGCTCCAAGTTTCTTTCTAACACAATTTTCGTTATGTCCATGAAGCCACCCTATACTTAAAGCATTTTCAACTCATCCAACCTACTCATTCAAACAAAATACCCTACACTTAATCATCTTCATTCAGTAAAAATCTAGTGAAGATCATTGGTTTCATCATAATTTAGCTTAAAATCTCCAATACCCATAACCTATTGAACCCTAAATGGAAGCCCTCATCCTTTGAGAGGCAAATCAGTGAAGCTACAGTTCAGGTGAATCATTTTCTTGCATTTTTTCTCTGCGTTTTTGCTCTGCATTTTTGCTCTGAATTTTTGCTAAGCTACGGTTCAGGCAATTCAATTATTTGATTTCTATAATGATTAAACTGTTTGAATGAATCATTTTGGTGCTTAATAAGATTGATTTATTCTTTTTGGGAGCTAAAAGTTGTTTTACTTAACATTAAACTAAACTTAGTGCTATGAGTCATTGTGTTGCTCTTTTCTACTTTCTGTTTTGGAAAGTTAAGTGCTTTTGGGAAAGCAAGCTTTTTGCTCTGTGCTTTTGGGAAATCCAACATGTTTAACAAAAACTCTTAGATTTCTAAGCTTGCAAAACTGCAGACTCATTTGCAAGTTCATAATTGTCAATCTAACAGCCTTCCTTACCAGAAACGATCAGCAACATCATACAAATACTATCACCATAAGAATTTAGTTCATTGAGCCAATGAATAAATTGTAAAAAGCCCAAGTCACTTGAAGTCTAATAATATACTAACACTGTACAATATTAGTTATCTGTTATTTCCCTTTTTCCACATTAATTTGAGGTATAGGCATAAAGCACAAGGCTAAGGAATCATCCAGATTTTAAGAGGCGCTCCATGTCATTTGGGAAGTTGATCTAAGTATCGTTATAAATGTAACACATACCATCAAAAGAAAAGAAAGTGAGCAGTTACAGCATATGAAACAACAATAACAAAGATGAATTGACTAGATTACATTAAAAGTAATTTGCAAAGTGATGAATGACCCATCAGGATATAATCATTAACTTTGCAGTCTGCAGTTTTGCAAGCTTAGAAATCTAAGATTTTGTGTTAAACATGTAGGATTTCCCAAAAGCACAAAGCAAAATGCTTGCTTTCCCAAAAGCACTTAACTTTCCAAAATGCAGTTTGCTCTTACTAAAAAATGCAAAGCAAAAATGCAGTCTGCAGTTTTGGAAGCTGTAGTTTGCAAACTGCAGCTTACAAAACTACAGCTTGCAAAAATTGGATATAAAGGTTGATGATGAGTGGAATATCTCAAGATAAACAATATACAATAAATTGGATCAAAATTTATATAAATTATTCTAAGATATGAAGGATTGTCTAACTGACAAATAAACCTTAAGTACCTGATTTTCCAAAGTTATAAAGTATATTATCATTATTATATATTTCATACCCAAAAATCACCCTATTTTTCTTAAATGTTCACCAAGTTCTAAAACTAGGGCCTACTTTTTTTGTGTTAGTTTTTTAAACTATGGTTCTGGAAAATTCATCCCTGGAAATACTACTGCACAATGTTCTTGTCTTGGGACTAGGTATAAGTATTTTGTAGCTCAAGAAATGATCAGCAATGTCTTAATAAGACAATGCATAGTTTTGGATCAATTGTTTTTTTGGTACATGTCATGACTCGTGAGATGGTTTGTGTGGTAGAAATTAAATGTTTAAACCTATTCTGAGTTTTTTCCTCCAAATTGACGTATGATAATCCTTGTTCTTGGAAGGTACATTTTTTTGAACTTGTTGCTGCTCTTTGATTTCATAGGAAGTTGCGGTGAAGAGGTTCCTAGACCAAGATATTTCTGGTGAATCACTTGTAGAATTCAAAAAAGAGGTATAAGCTCTCTCCTTCTCTTGCTATCTTAGGCATCAACTGATCTCATGCCATCTATAGCAAAATATGAATAGATACTTCTTTCACACATGTCACAAAATATGCCTAAACTTTGTGATCTACTTATTGTCTTGTGCCTGATTCAAAACTTTGCAAGCCATTATTAACAAGGCCACAATGGCAGCAAGCACAAAGGAGAGCAGAAAAGTAGATTCATCAGGTTTTAATCCTTCAGCTATTATCTCCTCAAACATTTTGAAGGCCTCTAATTACTGTATTGTAATTAACAATATTCCTTTCCAACATAGTCTCAAAAACGCAAATCCCCAAGTCCACAAACCCACATTTTGAATACATATTTGTGACAGCAGAAGAAACCACAACACTCAATTCGAAACCACGCTGAATAACATAACCATGCACCACACTGCCAGACCACACATTTGTTGATTGAGCAGCAGCAACCATCACACTGGCAATCGAAACAAGATCTGCCTTCTTGCCTTCAATATGCATTTTCCTGAAATAGTACAATGCCTTTTCATAATCTCCATATTGAGAATAACTCGTAATCAAAGCAGACCATGTTTGCAAACTGCAGTCGGCATTTTTGCAAGCTATAGTTTTGCAAGCTGCAGTTTGCAATTTTGCAAGCTACAGTTTTGTAGACTACAGTTTGCAAATTGCAGCTTGCAAAAATGCATACTGCAATTTGCAAACTGCAGCTTGCAAAAATGTGGACTGCAGTTTACAAAAATTGCAGACAGTAGTTTGCAAAAAGCAAAATCTCAAACATTTTGCATGTACATATTTGAATATGAATTTTTTGTATTTGTCAAATTGTAATAGTGTTTCAGTTTATGCAGATCGAAATTTGTCTCATATCAAGAGGGAATTAAAAATTATTGCGACAAGAAGGATTGGAGTTAATAAGCTACAACATTTAAGTACTCAGAGAGTAAGCATTATTGTGTTGTTCAATGGAATTTGCATATTATGTTGGTTACATTCAACTCATGTTTTGTTGTTTTCATAATATTCTGCCATATTTACCTATAATTATTCATGTATTGTTTGGCTTTTAATAATTGTGTAGATTAAGTAATGATGATGATGAATAAGGATTGGGTGCATCTGAATAGGTACGAAAAAGATTGAAAGACACACTTCCATATGTGTATGAAGTAATAATGATTTTCCTTAACAAGGTTTAGATGTTTTAGGTTTTTTTTTTTTTTTTTTTTTTTTTTTTTTTTTTNTGACGACTCAACAGGCTAAAAGATCAAAGTTTGCAAACGGACTGAATCTCGGCTCATCGGACTGCCAAAACATGTTGGCAAGTCCTGGAATGTTGGAACAGATATAAGACAAACATAACGGATTTGATAGAAGATGATGACCCAAACATATACTCCACTTGAGATGATTGTGATTCTTTGCTTCTTTTCTCTCAACAATTTTCCTTTTCTCTTTTTGTATTCTTATTGGTGCAGCCTCCTCAATCTTGTGTATTTGTTTGTAAAAAAAAAGGTTCAATTGCAATTGTTGTAATCAATGTTTTGCATTTGTTTTTGTGTTCCATGTGTTGTTCTTCAGGTCATATGATCGTAACTGAAGAAAGTCATACAAAAAATGGAAACCATTTTGCTGCAATAATCAAACTAGTGGTCAATTTTGAATTGAAATTCAAACTGGATAGTATCTTACTAAGATGTCAAATTAGGAACAGGGAATTTTTTATACCAATGATAAGTTTTACTAACTCTGCAAATTTATATTCTGTTTTCGATTCCGACATCGTTATGACCCTAGACCATCGTCATTCTCATTCTCGATCATCACTCACCAAAACTCTTTAAATCCTATACCCGATGATCCCGTCAATTGGCGCCAATCGAGTGATTAAGGTTTGCACAGCCGTTTCTCTCAAGTCAAATTCTGACAATCTCAACCACCAAAATCTAACATTCCACCACCAAAAGACTCATCGGTCTCCTTTTTTCAAAAGTCCTAACAGTTTGGACGGAGTTTGCTCTCTGTTCGTCGTCGGAATATAAATTTAGCAGTAAAGTGATATTTTAAAAGTTCGTGGGTAGAAAAGTGCAGTATTCTGAAAACCGGACCGTCCGGTCGGATCGGTTTGACTGGGAGCCAATGGCATCTCCGGTTCGGTATCCTCTGAAAACCGATATTTTCAATCAAATCGGATTGAGCTGCTGTTGGACCGTCGGAATAGTGCCGAATTGCAGTCTAATCGCAACTTAATCCTGCCGGATTCCGGCATCGTTTGAGGGACAAAACACCACCATTAGACTTGATGACATCTCCACGACAAAACCCATCCAGCATTCATCGCTCGCTGTCCACCTATAGTTCACGCAACCGTTGGACTTCCTTCTTGTTTCCACCAAGTTCCGGCGCCGATGGAACTCCCTAACACCACCATCAAATTCGCCGGCACCTATACATCAAAAGCCCCATGACTCCAAACTTCGATTGGTCGTCGATCGTCGTTGCCGCTACCACTCACCAGTCTCTTAGCGCAATAAGGGTGTTTTGGACAGATTTTAAACCTTAAGGGAGTATTATAGGGGTGTTTTTGATGAATTTCAAACATTTAGGGACTAATTTTTTTTTATAGAATATGGTCCATCCGACCGATCAAACCGGAAACCGAACCCTTGAATGGGTCATAATCCGGTTCGATTTTCCAAACATTGGAAGAGTATCATTAAATCATTATTTGGGTGGGAAAAAGTCGTTAACTCATATTATATTATTCTTTTTCACAGCTGCCAAACAGACCTCAAGAAAATTGAAAGAAAAAAACTAGAGATAGAAGGGACCCAAGATTTACATCCAACCACTTATAAGGATAAGGTTTTAGAGAAGAAAAGCCCTAAAATGGACTGAACAAGATATTCTTTTTTAATCCATTCTCAGAAGAAGAAAAAGGAAAACATGGCAACTTTCTTTGGATCTCCACCATTTCTGTCTCACCCACTTACAAGAACTCACCAGTTTGCTTCTTCATCTCCAACTCCTCCTCCTCCAAGTCCATCTTCACAATCACCATCAGAACCACAAACTCCAACTCCGTCTTCACAGTTAAGCACAAGCTCACCTGACCAACCAACACCTGTTACTGTTAATAAGCAGCAAGAGAAGCCTGCAAAACCTGCCACTATTGAAACTACAGACTGGATAGCTTCAACCTTAACCAGGAGGTTTGGTCTTGGTGCAGGCCTTGCTTGGGCAACTTTTCTAGCTGTTGGAGTTATCTCTGAGCAGATAAAAACCCGCCTTGAAGTCTCTCAAGAAGCAGCCAATACAAGGTGAACTAACTTATCCCGTTTCATATTTTACTGTTCCTTTGTTTGTTGAAGGTTTCCAAGTAGCTTCAGGTTGAGTTACTGAGTAGTCTTGATTAAAATGTTGTGCAGAAATGTTGAAAAGGAAGAGGAAGTGGTGTTGCCTAATGGCATCAGGTAAAAATCTGATGAGTTTAGAGATTTGTAGCTTCTTTGTATCAGAAAATGACGGTCTTCTTCATTGTAATATTTGAAACAGATACTATGAATTGAGAGTTGGAGGTGGTGCTGCTCCCAGAACAGGAGACTTGGTGGTGATTGATTTGCAGGGGAAAGTTGAAGAAACTGGGAAAGTATTTGTTGACACATTTAATGGTGAAAAGAAGAAGCCATTGGCTTTGGTAATGGGTTCAAGGCCTTATAGTAAAGGAATGTGTGAGGGAGTTGAGTATGTATTGAGATCAATGAAAGCAGGAGGGAAAAGGAGAGTGATAATTCCTCCTAGTTTAGGGTTTGGAGAGCAGGGTGCAGATTTGGGTTCTGATATGCAAATTCCTCCATTTGCAACTCTTGAGTACATAGTTGAAGTTGATAAAGTCTCCATTGCACCAGCTTGAATATGTACAGTCACATTTTTACTGATTCTTACCTGTTCTTCTCGAGAGTCATGAATTTGTATCAGAAGGGACACAAAGTTGATTACCAAGTAAATGTAATCCCATGTGCTTGATTAACTCAGATTTTTTTATAATATCAGAACTTGATTATATCAATTATGGCTATATATGCAGAAAAATATGTAATCTTCTGACGATAAAAGTTTTCAATCTATTACTAGTTCTATAATCAGATTGAGTGGTGTAAATATTTACCACTCAAACAATAAGTAAACATTTTTCTATGCAATACACTAATTCTCTCCCATTAAGAATAAAATTGGCATATATTTTTAAATATAGTTTTATATTATAAAGGTAACGTTACTCTTCATCTAAATCATTAGAATCGTGGTCCAATTTAATTAACCTTTGAACTTATGATCAAGGATTTATATGGGTAAAGTTAAACTCCGGTATGGTAACTGTACTGACTCTGTATTGTAACCTTAGAATAACGGTCCTGTTAAGGGAATTAAATTTCAACACTTGGAAGCTGCTGGGAACTTGGGATTCATTCAAAGTGGGTCTATCTAACAACCCAAGTACAACAAAGAGGCTAACGAGTATGTTTTAATATCCACCACACAGCCTATGACAAGTTAAAACTCTTCAATACTTTCACTTCATATAAAGACACACACATCGTAATAAAGCACAAAAAACGAAGCATAATCAGCTTGAATGGGAACCGTTTTGGACTCCCATTTCTTGGCTCTCACAGCCATTGTCACTGTACTATTAAATTTGTTCGCTTTCACCCTCTTTCTCTTCAGAATTTGAGGTTCCAAGTGTAAAGTTTTTTTTTTTTGTTGTTGTGTGTTTTTGCAGGTGGGTTACCAGTTGTTGTTCTTTGTGATCACTGCTCTTCTCAAGTTTGATAAAGTCACTGACTTTGCTGGTGGGTATCATCACTCTTTCTTTACTTGTTCTAGTAAGAAACTTAGGTGCTTAATTGGGGTTCTTTTGTTGCTGAGAAATAGCAGGATTCTGTTGTTAATTTTGTTGTTTTTGTTTTTCTGTTTTAGGAAGCACGAATTTTATTATAATAGCTGTGTTGACTTTGGTTCTTAAAGGGACTTATCATTTTAGACAGGTGAATTTACTCTCTTTATTGTCATTAGTTCATGAAAGAAATGATGTTCTTTTTTTTTGATGAAAAGCAGCATGAATTTAATTGATTTTCAATTAAAAAAACTTCCTTTAGTTTGCATAAGTAAACTCTTTGATAAGGATGGAGAAGAATGAGATACTTTTCATGATTTTATCAGTGATTCATAATATATCAGTTTTGATATTTTTCGTTACGGCAGAAGTTATACAAGTCTTGTTCGATTTAGTTCTACTATAAGTTTATTTATTTAATCCTTTCTAAGTAAACCCTGTTCAATTGTCCCGAGATAAAAAATTTCTTTCGTTTTTTGCAGGTAGTCTTGACATTGCTGGTAGTGGTATGGGGTCTTCGTCTAGGTCTCTTTCTATTAATGAGGTATTATAGCATTGCGTTAGCAAATCCTTTAACTTTGTGGGATTTTCTTTTTTTATATTATGCATCACTGATACTTTCGGATATATATGGCACTAAGGTTTGTTGTTTACCTATGCAAGTTAATTAGATCTTAATCTATTGATTCTGACTCTGGCAGCATTACCTCAAGGTTTTAAATCAAAAGGAATCATTTTTTATAGTATTACCACTTTGATTGTTTCGTTTATGATTTTAACTATAGAGCGTTCTGCAGAATTCTGCAGTGGGGTGAGGATCGACGCTTTGATGAAATGCGTGGTAATTTGGGAAAATTGGCAATTTTCTGGATATTTCAGGTATCATATTGCTTGCTATATTCACTAATGAGTCAGCTAAAGCTCATTTACAATTTCACATATAATATACACAAGTTTATGTATACACTGCAGGCTGTGTGGGTGTGGACTGTGAGTTTACCTTTAACCGTGGTCAATGCAAGTGATAGAGATCCATCTCTTCAGGCAGTGGATATAATCGGGTGGATTATGTGGTCTGTGGGTGCTTCCATTGAAGCTTCAGCTGATCAGCAAAAACTAGCTTTCAAAAATTCTCCAGAAAACAGAGGGAAGTGGTGTAATGTTGGAGTTTGGAATTATTCTCGTCATCCAAACTATTTTGGCGAGGTCGGTTCTGTCTTTCTATCAAATGAAACTATTTTTGGATTTGGTGGTGCATACAATCTTTGTTATAGTCAATGAAGTAGTACAAATCCTAGACAAATTTATGAAGTTTCATTTACTTAATTGATTGTTTCTTATACTTTTTTCTAAATGTTTACTGGTTACATCATTGAGCTCCGACTTCATCATTATTCATTTTTGGGCTATATTTCTGTACATGCTTCGAAGCACCTGTATATTTTTGCAGCTTGTAATAACTGGAAGCCTTTCAGCTGAAAGGCTATCTATTGTTCATTGACTTGCTAAAAGACGTCATTTTTATCTAGCAGCATCATTTATAGTTAATAATATTAATAGCATCTCTTCAACCTGTTACTGTTTGCATTATTAAAATCAGATTTTGTTGCTATATTCGTATGCCTTCCTGTTGTTCACTGCGTTAATATAATTAGATTTAACCTTCATAATTTGTGCTATCTGGATGTCTTTCGGCTGAAAAAGTTGAAAAGTATGCTAGTCTGGGTCACTTGTTATGGAGAATCTAGAATATAAATAGGGTCTCTGTTTATGCTACTACTTGACATGTGGAACAAGAGAATTGAGATTTCCACATAAAGGGCTTCGTAGTTTTTTACAGTAAGGAAATGATTAAATTTTTTTCTTTGCATCTATGAATTTGTCTAAATAATAAATTTCATGTATTCAAAAAGTATAAAGGGCTTCGTAGCTTTTTACAGTGAGGAAATGATTAAATCTTTTTCTTTGCATCTATGAATTTGACTAAATAATGAATTTTATGTATTCAAAAAGTATACCTTACTGGCTTTCTAACCTTAAGAATGCATAATTCATCAAGCTACTCTGTTACCTCGTTATCGTGATTTTAATTCTACCCATAAATATTGTGCTCAGATTTTCCTATGGTGGGGAATTTTCATTGCTTCCACACCTGTACTGGAAGGTGCCGAGTGGCTAGTAATCCTTGGGCCTATCTTTCTCACATTGTTGCTTCTTTTTGTCAGTGGCATACCATTGCTTGAGGTTTGCTTTCCTGCCATACATTTTATTTTTACAGAATTCAATTCATTGCCATGTGACAATATGCTAATAATATAATACTTGAACCGATGCAGGAATCAGCAGACAAGAAGTATGGAAATGTGGCTGCATACAGAGTTTATAAGAAGACAACAAGGTTAGGTTAATGTTTTCACCTTCTGTTTATGTTCTATTTATATTGGACGAGGAAGTAACTAAACCTAACATGTGGTGTTCTTGCATTGGCGAATGCATATTCTGTTTCAGCCCTCTTATTCCATTGCCTCCAATAGCATACAGGCGCTTGCCTTCATGGTTCAAGGCAACTTTTCTCTTTGAATTTCCTTTATACAGCCGCAATCTTCCACAAGAGCAGCCAAACTGGTAAGACTTCAATGTCTTGAGAATAATCTTACTTTTGATAATATTAACTCTTAATCAGAAGTAAACTGATACATGTGCAATTATTTTTGTTCATGGTTCTATTGGGAATTAAGGAATGTCAGTTGTGCGTATTGTTTAGAATCATTCTTCTTGGCTTATAACATTTTCCAATGGGCGAACATGTAGTATTTATTGTGAAACTATGAGAAGGTCGAAATGAAAAAATAATCAATATTGCAATATTTTGGATTTTTGGGCATGTAAAGTTGTATTTAAAAAGCCAAAGAAACAATACCCGCCTCCAGGTGTTTGTCATACTATCCTCCCCAAGCAAACATCAAACTGAAACTGTCAAGCAGAAAAGTTAACAGCTAAGAATCAAATCCTATTCTCTGTTATTAGTCCAAAATTTTCACATACTGGTAAAATTCAGTATGCTTCTGCTCCATAAGATTTCGGAGAACTCCGTTTGAGTAACTCTTTTCCTATCTCTTTACATCATCTCTTTGTCACCCTATATTTGTCTGCAGTGCTTAATTTGTTACATGAGATTGATCCTTTTTTTTCTTTAATTCTTGGGCATATATGGTTAGGTCACTTCTTTTGTGAAGCCAACCTACCTAATGTATCCTAACTGATATGTCCTGTGACCTGCGTTTGCTCAGAAACAGTAGGGGACATTAATCTGATTCATTAAATTTGATTTTTGCTAGTGCTTCTATAGGCTGATTCTCGATATACTAGTTTCTTGCTTGTTGAGGAATATCTTTGTACGGTTAAAAAAAAAATTAATCATCTTTGTTGGGAGTTCTCGAACTATGGTAGTAATTGTGAATTCATGTTGCCATGCCAGGTTCTCATAGTTCATCATTTATGCTTTGCCTGCCATATTACCGGAACTGCTGTTGCTAACGTATATTTTACAAATTGCATGCTTTGAATGGAGCTTATAAATTTGAACAGACAGAATAACATTGTACCGTCGTAATTTTATGTTCTTAAGTAGACATACGTCTGTTTTCTCCGAATATCCTTATTGATGGTTCCATTTCTGGATTTCTGTAATGACAATGTAATTTTTTTATATTGATGGTTCCATTTACATTTTTCTAAAGCCACCTATAATATTTGTGCAAGGTATAGAACAAACAAAGGAGAAAGAAGTCAAGGATTGAAGATGGGTTAGTATTTGTTTATTCTTTGTCTCTGCTATGCTTTGTATTTCTTTCTGGAACAAACAAGTGTTAGCTATAACTACAATGATTCTTCTTTGTTCATTGTTCATTTATATTTTGTTTACAGTTGTAATAATTTTCGAGTAATTTCCCAGACTAACATCTGGTTAAGGATTCAATCTTCCTTGGAACCTTTGCATAACATATATCCATCAAATGCTTTAGTCAGTCGATTTGCAAATCCGAGTTCAAAATTAGACATTAACTCTAAAATTCCATAACTTGCTTTGCAAACCCGAGATCAAGATTAGAGGAAAGTGTTGGCCCGACCATTCGATTAAGTCGAAAATGA